TGCTTAATAAAGCTGAGTTTACTTATAATAACTATTTAAATATATCTATTAAAATAACACTTTTTAAAGCACTAATAGGTTATTTTTTTAAAATTTAGATTTTAGATTAAGAATAATCTTATAAAAATAGGAGTACCTTTAATATTTAAAAGGCTAGAAAAGTTAAAGACTGTTATGGGACCAAGGCCCTGTTATAGAGCTCGGCTTCAGGCACCAGTTGGCACCTAAGGCCTTGCACGCTAAGTACTAAACTAGCACTAGCTTAGCGCACATATAAAAGAATTTCGTACGAACAGATGAAATAGCTCCTCAGCTATTTCTTCTTGTTCTAAGGCACGTTTCGATTAGCACAATCCATCCGTCCCGTAACAAAGACTCTGTAAAAAAATCTATAAAAAAACTGGTAGAAAGTAAGTAAAAGCTACTTAATTTACTATAATTATTATTACAGTATACTAGCCTTTAAGTAAAAAATTAAAACAGTCTATACTTTTAAATAAAAAGATTTAGTTAAATTATCTACAGCAAATATTAAATTTAAGAAACTCCTTAAAAATTAATCCTAAAATTTATAGGGCCTTTTAGAATTCTAAAAACTATAGGAAAATAGGTGTTTTATTTATATCTTTCTAATAAATATACTCAGCTGTATAATATCTTTTATATTTTATTACTAGAATTTTAGAAAGCCAGAGAAGACATCCCTAAAACTTTACTAATATTAGATCTAGATAAAAATAAAAAGTAGGAGGTAGAGCAGGTACTAAACAGTCTATACTATTAAAAAAACCAGTTTTATTTAATAAAATAATAGAAATAGTTTTTAGAATACAACTAATAGTTACCAGCAGAGAATTTAATAAATACTTAATAAAAAATTTAAAAATTTAATAATTAGGGCGCAGTTGCCTACTTTATAAAATACAGATTAAAATTAATATATAATAAAAATAATAAAATAACTATAAAGCATCCGCAACATGCATGTAAACTATAATAAAAAAAACATAAATTAATAATATTATATATTTATTTTATTTATAACTATATATTAAAACTACAAAAAAACAACAATAGAAACCCGGATTATATATATTTAATAAGGTAAAATAATATTATAAAGATATAAAAGTATTAAAACAAGCTATAAATACTAATAAAATAATATTAATTCTATAGGTCTTTATTTAACTTTATAAAAAAACTATTTAGTAGAATCTGTACCAACAGCTTCTCTGCCTTCTATCTATCTAAATATAAATAAATAATCTTTTAAATAATATTATTTAGAAAAGTAACTACTGCTACTAACCAAAATAAATAGCCGGTATTACTGGATAGAAGATAGAGGTATTTAGAATCACCCCTAGTCTAAATAGCTAGAGTATGGTACTTAGTTATAAAATTATAGTAAATATCTATATATTTTTATTAAACTATTAGTATTTATTTATTATATTAATACTAAAACTTACACCTATAGTCTTTTTTATAGTAGTAGAAATATAATATTTTATATAATATACTTCTTTTATATTAGTAAATTTACCGGCTAGAGTGGCGGTAGTATAAATAACTAGATAATATAATATTAAATTCCAGATTTTTTTATTTTTAGTATTTTAAAAGAAATTAGCCTATTCTAAAACTGTAGTAAGATTAGTAGTATTTCTAAGTATTACTATAGCTGTCTAATCTATATTTAGTTTATATATTAAAATAGTATAGAAACAAAGAAAATAGAATAGGTTTTAGAAGAAAAAAACTTACTAAACTATAGTTTACTTTTTTAGCAGTATATTACTAATATTTTACTAATAATACTATATTAAAAATACAGCAGGATATAAAGTTTTTTCTATTAGTAGGATTAAAATTTTTAATTAAAATATACAAGCACTTTAAGTACTATATAGTATAAAAGAAAAAAAACTGGGCGGCTAAGAAACAGAAAGTTAACAGTATAAATATTTTAATTTATTAATAAGTCTATAGTAATCTGTTAGTATTTTAGTAGTATTAGAAATATAAGAATATATATACTTATACTTATAAAGTAGATTTGATAACAATAGATAATAAAAATAATATAAAAATATAGACAAAGCGCGACAGCAACAAAGTTAGATAATAAAAAAGTTATCTAGTACAAATATTAATATATAATTATAATATTAATATTTTATATAAAAAATAATAATATTTTTAAAGCAGAATAGTATTAAATTATAATAACTATATCTAACTAAAACTAGCTTTAGAAAAGTTCTATCTACTGCTACTATATTTACTAAACAGATTAGCTTACCTATTAAAATAGTACTATTATACTATTATTATACTGCTAAGGACAGCTGTATATAAAGGGGAGCCTAATTATTATAAATAATTCCTAAGGATATATTAAACTACCAACAGCTTGCCTATATATCTCTAATAGAAAAGTTATAATATTAACAACTTAAAAACTTCCTCTAGTATTTAACTTTTAGAAACTTGCTATACCTTTGGGATAGCAAGGATTAGTCTTGAAATCAATAGACTGCTACTATTCTATACCTAACTGACCCATTTTCCCTTAACACTTCAACACACTCTAATTATATCTTAAGATAAGATTTTAATAAAGTTTTAATAAATTTTAAATAAATTTTAAATAAATATTTAATATTTTTAGAGAGCTGATTTTAACTACATAATATAAAATCTCAGTTTTCTTTTTAAAAACTTTCTCATTTGTACTAGTACTTTATCAAAAATTATTTTTTAATTATTTTACTATTAACTTTTCTTTTAGAAGGCGCCTAAGAGGGGAAAAATGATAAAACTTAAATTTACTATTAGAAAATAATATACAGACCTCCAGGTTTATACATTATATAAGGGCTAAAGGGTGAAATAGTGTAGTAAACAGATGTCCTTTGCAATAGCCGAGATAGTAGTATTACACCTTAAGGTGTTATTGCTGATCTGCCTAACTTCGCAGGACTGCCGCTGCCTTAGGTGGTTCTGTGACCACCTTGCTTAGCCGTCACGTGGCTAATGCCTTAGGCCTTCTTTTATATACATTCCTTCGCGATATCAACCGCGAAGGTCGGAAGGGCTCGCAGGGCCCTTACACTTTATATTAGGCTAATATTAAGCTGTCTTTTTATTACTGCCTGCTGCAGATCTTATAGTTTGTCATTATCTGCTAAGAAGGCTGCTTAACTAAGATTCATATTATTTTACATATTTCATTATATATCGAGTAGTATTATTTTTTATAATCACCGAGTGTAGTAGTCATTATTCTAGACCAATCCTTACTATCCCAAGAGACACTCACAAAAGACCCACCGCCGATTCAAGCTTTGGGCTTCGTTCCAGGTGGTAGGTTCGACGTATGAAGTCCTTGCATCCCAATCCCCGTAGCCGCCGTGGTACCAGCATCCACGGGGAGGACCACCCCGGTCACCCATCGAGCGAGATCACTTGCGAGAAACCGCACCGCGGCGCCCACATCCCACCCATTGCCTTCGGTCTGCAAGAGGCTCCTCGCTTTGCGTGCCTCTCGCTCAGCAGGGCTCATACCCCCACTACCGTTCTGATACATCATGGGCGTATATACCATGCCTGCAGCCATTCAGTAAAGTATCGAGCATTGGAGCTTCCAGTAGTGGTGCATACCCGGGCAGACACAATTCACCCGAATCCGATGAGCAGCATGGTTGGCTGCCATGGCTCGGGTCATATTCACAATCGCCCCTTTGCTCGTTGGGTACAGAAGATGCGGCGTGCCTCCCCGCAACCCGGCCACACTGGACATGTTCACAATGCTTCCCGCGCACTGCCCGGCATTTGCCGCCATCACGGGGATGGCATACTTGGCCATCTGCACCATACTGGCCACATTGGTGCGTAGCCCGTCCATGAAGGCATTGAGATTCACCTCCACAGCGCTCCCCTTGGCGCCCATGACCCCCACATTGTTGACCAGAATGTCTAGACGGCCGTAGGTCGAGAGCGCAAGATCGACAATCTGTCGACAGTCTTCGGGGCTCGTCACGTCCGCCGTTATGGCGACCCCGCGCCCAAAACCGTCGGCTTGAATCATCTGGACCGTCTCCTCGGCGAGCGAGAGCTTCAGGTCGACGCATACCACGGCGCAGCCTGCCTCTGCGAGGAGAATGGCGGCAGCGCGGCCATTGCCGATTGCGCCCGGCGTGGCCCCCGCACCGGTGACAATGGCGACTTTGCCGGCAAGGGAGTGTGTCGGACGAGGGGGAATGGGTTCTGTCATTTTTAGTTGGGTGGGGCTAAGAGAATGTAGGGAATAGTGCAAATTTAAGGATCATGGTTCGGGGGGTAGGGCTTCGGCAATGGAGCTCGGCCGCTCTTGGTAAACATTCGAATACACTATAGAGAGAGCCGGGCATTTGACCAAATCCTCACATATGCCGAGAGTGAGAGTCCGTTCTCTAAGCAAGTTGTAGCTTATCGTATAATCGAGTGGCTATGGTGGGACGAGACTGAACAACCCGCCATCCAACCCATTCATCAGATTCTCCGTCAATAGACTTTCAATCCAGCGATCGGGCATTGCTAGTTCATCCCCGCACTGCGGGTGCTGCTGCGTCGGCGCCGAGCGCCCGGCACCGACCGGTCCGTTATGCAATACCCCAGCTCCAGCCCCCCCATCGTCTCGCCAGAGCCCACTCTCCGCCAATCCTGCATTTGGTAGTCGCGGCCATCTCTCATCATGATGATCGAGGAGCTCGTGCCTTTCTCCTACCATCGTGATTCCCAGCCTCTTCGTCACACTATCGAACACCCGGAACGTCCACTTGGCATTCAACCACTGATCCCCGACCGCCCGGAGATATGCCAGGCCCGTGTGGATCTGCGCCCTAGAGGCGATTCTCTGTGCCTCTGGAGCGCCGGAATCCAAGACGACGTCCAGCTGGAAGACCAGGAGATGTGAGATGCAGATTATTCTGCAGAAGAGGCAAGACAGGTTAGTAAATCTCATGATCGGTCGGCTGAGGTTGGTTCTCATTGGCAAGCCAGGGGGATTTATCATACAGCGATGGTGGACAAAAGCGTGCTACATCGTTGACGATCGCCCTCTTCAACACGGTATCGAGTTCGAAGATGCATCGCCGGAGTCGGTCACTCGCCCACGTCGCCAATTCAAGGCTCTTGTTCACCAAAGTTCTGGCCCGCTGCCGCAGTGTCCGGTAAAAGGAGCATTCCAGTCGATAGCCCATGGACCCGAGGAACAGAACCCAGGCACTGGTTTCGTCCCAGTGGGTGACACGGTCGAGAAGTAAATCCTCCGGGAAGGAAGTCCGCCACGCCGTGAGCGCATGAATGAACGCTTGAGCTTCTGCGATCGCGGGAGTTGGGCGATTCGGTCCCAGGAGGTTGAGAAAGCGCGCGCCTGTCCCAAAAGAAAGAATTTGGGTTAGGGGAGATCAGGTAAATTATAGAGCGATACTTCACCTACCAAGTAGCGCCAGCCGACAATTCTCGGTTAGGAAATGTTGGTGGAGGGGAGTAATTTGGGGAATGACGTCTTTATGCTGGGAACTAAGGGCTTGCTCGCAAGCCCAGTCTTCTGCCCCAGGGAGACGCCATTGTATCCCGTGATCATCGATGAGTCTTCCATTTGCGAATCCGACCACTGAGAACCAGATATCGCGCGACTGGCCCCCGCAACAAGGTTGTGCACGTTAGTGTGGTTGTGAGCAAACTGCACGGTCGGAGAGAAGGAATTGGCCTACATATAAAACCCACCAGATCCGTCGCACCAGTTGTTGAGTCGATGGGTCAAGATGGTTCTCCATGTCCCTACTATCGATTAGCCCTTCTATTCCCTTCCTCAGTCTGGGTATGTCTCTCAGCCGATCCACTATACCGTCGATTGAACCCCATCTGCAACGCGATTCGAACGGCGTTGTGGAACCAGAATCGAAAGTCTTTGTCCGGGGCAAAGGAGTTCTGAAACGAGCTGAGAAGCAGCGATCCCTGTAGCAGATTCAGCTGGGCCTTTTCGCATCCGAAGTCATACAACAGTCGGGCTCGCGAGAAATAGTCTTTCTGCGCGATGGCGCACTCAGTATACCCGGAGTCGAAGAGGAGGTCGGAGTCGGCGTATGGGACGACGTTCGCCAAGATGGACCAGAGAAGAAAGCTCGAGCAACTGCCTCGTTCGTAGTCCTCCATCAATTGCTGTCGATTCAGGATCGGGGTATACGGGTAGATGTGTTTGAAGAACAGGTGCAGGAAGTTGCGGCTGCAGGGCGTCAGTCCAGGGACTCCAGCCCCTGTTACGCGCCACATTCCGAGGGTAGGGGCAAATCAATCTCACCAGATCGCTGTGGGAGGGAAATCATGCACGTGCTTTGCACGCAGATAAGCGATATCAGCGTCATCTAAGCCGGCGAGCTCCCTTGACCGGGCGCCGACCGCCACAGGGCCCGGTAGATCGAGGCGTATCAACCGGCGCTGGGCTTGGCCCAAGATCTCACTCAGGACGGTGATGGAATTCAATTCACCGTAGTACTCAATTACCTGGTGCCCTTGCTCCGATGTGGACAAGGGTACCGGGGATGGCATCGCTGGGTTCTCATCGGCCATCAGGCATAAGGTCTCCAGATGTGCATCCTCATCCGCAGCCAGGTAGTAGACCGGATGAGGCTGACCCTGATGACTTTGATGTGGCCCAGGCAGAAGTGTCTCGGATATCGAGGTAGTGGTGCCTGCATGGGACAAATCCAACAGACCCTGGGCCACATCGCTCTGGCTGTGACTGAAGGAGGCATGGCGCTGTGGTGGAACACTTGTCGCTGGGGTTGGCGGACGCGGGGAGGGATAGACCGGTTCCGGTTGAGGCTCAGGATCATGAGGATCTTTCAATGCTTCATTGCTGTCATGGACTGTACGTCGACGCTTGCTGGAATTGTTAGGGTTGTTGGTGGCACTGTTCCTGGCCCCGCGTTCGAGGAGAGTGCAAGAGTCCGCTCGGTCTCGCCTGGTACACCGAGTACAGGGGATTCCCACCACCGTCGAATCACAGCGCACCTTCCGTTCGTGGCAGGGCACACAGGCAGTCGGCTTTTTCCCCAGCGCAGCACTCATCCTCAGGCTCAAAATATGATACAGGGCAGTTTGTCAAGCGGAAAAGGGAAAATAGAAAGGGATGGGGAGGGGATGGGGAGGGGGATGGGGAGGGGGATGGGGAGGGGATGAGGATGGGGATGGAGATGGCGATCAGCCTCGGGTAATGTTGATACAAGGATAGGAAGATAGCAAGATAAGATACGCAGCACGGAAAGCAGAGATGGCGCAGCTGGAGTGGGTTGTACTGTTATGTACTGTACTGTGATTGGGTCAGTGGGGGGTGCCCCGCGGATAAGTTATCAGTTAACATCTACCTAGTACTCAGTTATGATACAAGTACCCCGCCACGTCTGATTCAACAGCATAATCAATTGGCTGCTGCCCACTCCTGACGTAGGACAATGAGTGGAGTGATGATTAATAGGTCTGTACCTTTAAGTTAAGGCTTCATGACCTGCTCAATAAGTAACGTGAAGATTGCCATATCTCCGCTAGTATACACTGACTCTTTAAGTAGAAAAATACATCCAGCGTCCAAATCTCAAGATTCAGCCTTGCAGCCGAAGAGTATGTGAAGTTACCATACGCTTTCATTACAAAGTATTGAATTGCGATGGATCGTTCAATACACGTTGGGTGTGAGCACAGAAACGTGCCACGCCCCTCTTCTCCACAGTTGACATGCCCCAACGAGCGGAGGACCGCATTTCCCCACGGGGTACTGTACGGAGAGAACAAACACGGAATAGTGCAACAATCAACCATCTAGGGTCAAGCTTAATCTGCAGGCTTCGGTACCGACGATAACCGCAAGAGCCTTGGCTTATAAGTCAATTTACGTGCGTTCTGATGTCGTGCCCTAGCTTTACCACAGACGCACCCACCCACCACACAATGACCGAGTGAGAGTACTCCCTCCTGAGCCCTGCCAGCCGCTGATTACTTTCCCGTCTATACCGAGGCGGCATCAACTGTATTCGCCCCGGTCGAATTGAAGTACTATCTAGTATTTATCATTTTGACGCTTCAGGGGTGCCCCCTTTGGTTTGTCTCCCAAAGACAAAGGGTAAAAAAGTGCCACCCTTTTTGGAGCTCCGAATACCCCCCTAGGTGATATGGAAAAGGCTCAGGTCGAACATGCCGAGGAAACTACTTCGGGAGAAAATGCTGGGGGCTATGGCAGTTCGGCATTAAAGATGGGAACGGGGCACTCCTTGTATCTCGTCATTTCAGCATTCATCAAATCCTACAACGTCAGCTGAGCTGTGCGACATATACATCATGCACCTTCAATATTAGACTAGTATATTTTATCTGAAGAATACATATCATTCAAACAGTAGTGTCCTCAGGACATTGTTTATGGTTTCTAGAGGCTGTATAAGAAATATCCTTACCGGAAAGATACTTAGTCCAAAAGCCATGAGCTTTACTCGGAAAAAGATCTAGATCGCCCGTTCTGTTCATCACTCCCTTGTAGAAGCATAATGGCATGGTCCAAGGTAGGTATTGACATGTTAATGGCCCCCCTCCTTTCGTCTGCGCTCTCTCTGTTCCGCTTGCTTTCGAGGAGCATCCGTCGCCCGTGTTATGAGGTATAGCCGAATTGCCCAGCCAAATATTCAGGTTTAACGTGATATCACGCGAATAGGAATGCTTATATTGGTTCAACTCAGATCTATTGAAAAAATTCCTTTTCTCTGATCATAGCCTCAGCTACCTCCTTGTCATGGCCATACAACAGTCTTGCGTTGAAAAGTCGCTGCAACCGATTAACCATCGCGGAGCTTCGGACCCAGTCATTGTGCTCCCGCGCCAGCCAGCCCTGTGGCATCTTCTCCAGGTGGTTCTCTCTCACATGGTACTGGTCCGTTGTGCAGATGATGGTTCCGTCCCGTTCCAGATTGACCTGCATGATACACAGACCCGGCGTATGACCTGGCGCATGATGGAGAGTGATTCCTTGGAACAGATCAGTGGAAGATTCATGAAACGTCTGCCAATTAAGACTGGAAAGGCTGAGGTAATCGGCGAGATAGACCCCACGGTCAGCGCCGGTAGCGACGGCCCAGCAGGCATGCTTGAACTCGAGTTCGTGGACATATACTATATCAGTCAGAAATCAGATGCTTGAAATCCATGGTACAGGCAGAACAAGAAATATTGATGCTACTTACTCGGCACGTCCGTTCCCCTGAAGTGCTCCAATCCCCCGGCATGGTCGATGTGCAGATGCCCAAAGATCACCCCTTTGATATCCTTGATATTGTATCCTGCCTTTTTAATCGCTTTGGGTAGCTTGTGCTCCTCCTTGTACTCCGTCCGAGGAAAGACATCGGTCATGGGTCTACCCCATTGCTAATAATGATTCAATTCAGTATCCCGCGGCAGAGCAAGGGGATACAGAGACAGGGACTGTACTAGCGTACCGTCTCGATATTCTCTGCGCAGCCAGTTTCGAACAGCAACAGTCCCGCATCGGGATGATCAATCAACACAGCAATGGCCATCAAGTCCCGCCGCTTGCTCACCGGGTTCGTCTCGCTCACCAGACTGGTATTGGCCCCGCGAATGAGAAATCCTTCATCAGCTTGAAGGGTTCCCAAGTTGAGGATGTGCAGTCTGGTGCCTGACGGACAATTCAATTGGGACAGTCTGGTAAGACCCATGGGATTGGATGTCATAGAGGGCGGTGTTGTGGTTCAGATTGGAAGGTTTCGCAAGTTGTCGAAGGAGAATACTCACGGCGATCCACGGCGTCGCTGGCGATGTTCCAAACACTGATAGTTGCGGTACTGGTTAGATCCTGGTACAATTAAAAATATCTGACTAGGTGGAGTAGTGGAGACCCAACCCCCCGCATTCCAGTTCGGTACCGAATCCACCCTGGAAATTATTCCGGGCGGGGAAAGAGGGAGCAATGAGTGGAATTGTGGGGAACTGAGCAAATACCGAAGCCCTCGGCTTTGAATATGGAGATAGATACAAGAGGCCGGAAGAGCATTACTAGAGGTGAACCAAATTCGTGGGATACCTCGTTTACCCCAACAATTGCACACAATGGCAACCAGAACACCCCCTAAGCTAAACCATGTCTTCCATCTCCGAGGCCACATGGGGACCGACACTATCAAAGCTGGCCAGCATCGCGCAGGTCCCCATCGCCATATCACTGCGCTGGAAGGTGGCTTCCTCCGCGGCATTCCGGGAACGAGAGGAGAGGGGCTCGACGCAACTCTCGTCACTGGTGGCAGTGACTGGATCTTGTTTGACGAGACCACCAACACCGCTCACTTAGATGTGCGTACTCAAGGGCGCACCAAGGCCGGGGAGTGTGTCTATATTCACTATAACGGGTATCTGCGGCTGGACGAGGCGGCGGAGAAGTTCATGACTTGGAGCCCGGATGCACAGACCACGGAGTTCGGGAACCATCACTGGTGGAGTGCGCCCAATATCGAGATCAGTGGTACGCCTAAACGCTTGCGCCTGTTGATTACTAACAGCAGTGTCAGTGCCAATATTGACTGGGTGTAGATCCGAAGTTCAAATGGGTGTCCACGACGCAGTTCGTAGGCAGGGGAAGATGGTTCAAAGGGGGGGATGTACAGGCGGTGGAGTACGAGATCTATGAGGTGGTTCATTGAACACTGCCCAAGCTTCCTTGGACTGATGTATTTGGATTGTATAGATAGTCTGAGTTGCGATGCTTTTAACTTCTGCTGTCGCAGTATATTGTTCGGGGCACAAAGGATAAATACGGCCATTCTGACGGCAAGAACACGCATGGTACGGCGGACGATTGCGGCCATCGGGCAAATACACTTTTTATAATCAAGTCCTTTCATTGCTTATATTAAGAATCCAAGGTCTATGATTAGTCTCAATAATTTAGTTTATAATAACTAATAATTCTTAATTTATAGCTATGTCTTACAGATTTCTAGATTAAGTATAGGTCTATAATAGTAATTATTCATCAGAATTTAAAAACATAGTATTTTATTATAAAACACAACTATTACAGATTTTGATTTTAAAGGCTATAGATAGAATCATATGAATAGTATATAAAGCCAGCAGAATTCTAAAAGCCTGTAATATATCACAATTATATATATTTATAATACCTATACATGGAATCAAGAAGGCGGTAAATGGACTTGACTGTAAAAATAAGGTATTTGCCCGATGGGTGCAATCGTCCGCCGTACGCATGGTTTGTATTCCCTCGGGCCATTGTTTTGGCCATGGACTCGAACGCATTTCTTAGAGACCAGGGAATTGTAATCTCTCGGTTGAGAGATCTGTACTATGCCTGTGCGGAGCGGGGCATTTATTTCTCGCCAGGTGCTAGAGACTACACAAATAGTCTTACGCATGAGACAGACAATCTAACATCCAACGATGAATCATTGCGTCTGTTTTTCTGCGCACGCTCGGATCCACCCAGGCCGAGCCCAGGCCATACAGATGCATCTGCCCCCATTCCACCTGGAGATGGTGCCTAACATCAGCCTTCTCAAGCAGAGCAGCCAAATCCTTTCCTTCCTGTAGGGCAAACTCGCCCCCACCAACCAGAATCAAGACTGGACCGAATCCACTGAACGCAGAGGGCGCACAGGACAGCGGATTGACCTTGGGCGACTTTCCAGGTTCGCTGCCCAGCCAGGCGTCGACAAATTTAGGCACAGTCGTATTGGCCGCTACGATGTAGTCGGTCTCAACGAGGGCGTTCCCACCCTCGAAGGCCTTCAGCGACATGTCCATCCACGGTGATATCAGCACAGTGCCTGCCGGTTGGGGAAGATGGTCCTGCTTGGCTGCTAGGCAGCTCAGAATGCAAAGACCACCTGTCCCAAGTTGCTTATTAGCCGGCGAGCCTGTGTACATTGAAGGGCGATCCGGGATTTGAATATAGTCCTACCTCCAGCCGAGTCGCCCATAAAGACGATGTTGCACGGTGATATCCCGCAACCCAAGACATACTGATAGGCCTGCAGAAAGGCCTGTTGCTGAGCAGGCTGGGTTGCCTCATGTGTGAGTGCTGTGCGATGAGGACGAATCAATTATAAGGGGATGCAACAACCGGAGAAAGTGGAGGAACGCACGATATTCCACACTGAGAAACACAAGTTCCAGTCCCTCCTTCGCGGCGCCAGTGACCCATCGATCCATGTAGTTAAGATACATCCGGGCCTCGCCACGGGCATACCCGCCGCCGTGGGCATAGATCACAACACATTGTCGCTTGTGATTCGGTTTCGCGCGGAGCTCGGCTGTTCCGGGGATTACATATCCAGTGAATTTGGCGCCAACTCTGCGCGCGCGAGCCAGGGGGCAGTCAACGACAGGCAATCGATGGATCAGCTCCGGGAAGTAGTAGGAACTGGACGACCAGTATGCCCGGTGAAGCTGCAAACGCAGCGTCTGGTAATGTGGCAGTCTGGGGAGGAGAATAGCCCGCAGTCCGATCAGAAGGATTTGAACACCGAAAGTGTAGAGAAACCGACAGGACCGGACGGGATTCTGAAGGAGCAGCTTCCAGAGCTTGACCATCTTTGCGTTCGGTTTCTGCTTCTGCTTCTTCTTGTTGATACGTTTGTCTTTCAAGGGAGTGCCAATAACGACGAAATATTTCAAATGGAATTCTGCCTCAATCGCTGGTCCGGTCTGACTCTCGGTGCCGGTCCAGGCCTCGGTACCGGGGGAGAGGCTTCGAAGAATGACAACCGCATGCGATATTGCATGATCTACAACCGAGCATGTGGATATCCGATTTGGCTCCATATTCAAAGGGTTCAGTGCTGCCCAATCTATAATATTGCATACTTTCAACAGCTCCAGCCCCAGCCCCCTTCTCCAGAAAGACAGCTTCGACTAGAACTCCGAGATACCGCGCACTCAAAACATGGGTTCGATCACCCCAACCAGCTGCCAGCATGCACGAGCAGGCTATCGTATCCGCGAAACACCCATGGGGACGCGTCGCCCTATGAAGGTTATCTTCATGGGCATGGGCGCCGCGGGGATCAACTTCGCCCATTCCGTGGCCACGCAAACACATAATGTCAGTTTGACTATCTACGAAAAAAGCAGCGATCTTGGTGGCACATGGCTCGAGAACCGGTACCCGGGATGCGCTTGTGATATCCCCAGTGTGTGCTACCAGTTTAGCTGGCAACGAAAGCCTGACTGGTCGAAGTACTATGCCGGGTCCCGCGAGATCTTCGGCTATTTCAAAGATGTGGCCGTGAGCAATGGGCTGGAGCGATTTGCCAAGTTCAATCATCAAATCGTTGGGGCCGAGTGGCTAGATTCCATTTCCAAATGGAGGATCACGGTCGTGCGCGACCAGGACCCGACCACCGCCTTCGACGACTATGCCGATTTCTTTCTGAATGGTGGCGGTCACCTCAATACGTGGAAATGGCCGGAGATCCGGGGACTGGACACCTTCAATGGACCTCGACTTCACAGTGCAAACTGGGACGATGCGGTCGAGTTGGATGGCAAACGCGTGCTGGTGATTGGAGCTGGCAGCTCGGCGGTGCAGATTGTCCCCAACATTCTCCCCAGTGTCGACCATTTACACATCGTCGCTCGCTCCCCTACCTGGATAACAGCCGGTTTTGCACCCAAGTACGCAGGCGCCGGAGGTGCTAACTTCGAATATTCCGAGACCACAAAGCAGCAGTTCCGAGACGATCCGGAGTTGTACCTGCGGTACTGCAAGGCCATTGAGTCGGAGCTTAACGTCCGGTTTCGACTGGTCGTCAATGACTCTCCCGAGGCTCTGCAGGCGCGCAAGTTTTCGGAGGCCCAGATGAAGGAAAAGCTGGCGAAGAAATCAGACTTGATTGACAAGCTGATGCCCAAGACCTTCGGGATTGGTTGTCGTCGACCGACTCCCGGCAACGGGTTTCTCGAAGCACTGACGGAGGACAAGACCACGGTCTGGACGGAGGACATCAAGGCAATCACACAGACGGGCTTTGTCAGTGCCGACGGCCAACACCATGAGGTGGAAATCATCGTCTGCGCCACGGGCTTTGACACCACCTTCCGCCCTCGTTTCCCCCTTATCGCCAATGGCCGCAACGTCCAGGACGAGCCCGCCGACGCCCCCGCGTACCTCGGTCTTAACCTTCCCGAAATTCCCAACTATTTCATGTTCAGCGCCCCCTACGGACCCCTAGGCCACGGCTCGGCGCTCCCTATGATCGAGGCCTTCACTAAATACATTCTCCATATCATCAGCAAGGCCCAGGTAGAGGACATTCGCCGGATCCAGGTCTCACGTCAAGCCGCCGAAGAATTCACCCGCCACGCAGACCTCTATATGAAGCGGACAGCCTGGTCTGGCCCTTGCAGCTCGTGGTTTAAGGCGGGCCAAGTCGGCCGCAAGCCGAAGCTCTGGCCGGGCTCACGAATTCATTACTTGACTGTCCTCCAGGCGCCGCGATATGAAGACTATGAGATTTCGTATCTAACTAGTAATCGGTTTAACTACCTTGGGGATGGATTTGAAGTACGGGAGTATGACGGGCGAGATTTGACCTGGTATTATGGTTTAGTGGATGGACAAGATGTGCAGCCTGCGGAGGTTCCCTCGCCCATGTACTAGAATTAGCTTTTGATCTGTACTGAGCAGCAACCAATGTTAGAGTTATGGAGCTCGCGAGCATCGGGAATCGAAATCTGGCCCCCAGATGACTACAACGATACCGCGGTCTCCTACTCGGTGTTGAGCGAGATCTATGCTGGTCATTGAGGGTATTCCCGGGTTTCGTTAACTCTGTGAGGTGTGGGCTATGACAAAGCTTAGGAACTCGGCATTGCTCACCAATAAACCCTGTTCGATCGCATGCCTCGACTGATTGTCGAAGAAATCAAAGACATTAGATGAAGCTAATAACGGCAAGTGTATGCATATCAGTGCTCGGCATATTCTTTGATTGGGCACAAGTTGACAATGCCGAGCTATAAGAGAGTCGCCATAGAGCAACTTCCATCGATGAGGAGGGGATTGCAGGTTGAGAAGGTTTTGCAGCGCAGGAACTTCATGTCCACCCAAGCGACTCAGTCGCCGCAGGTCCTTAGACCGTGCCACAGCACAAGGCCCATGACAGGGGTCTGCAGAAGAACGGCCACCAGCGAGATTCCTTGTTCGGCAATGTCTCCAGTGCAGGGCCAGCCATGCACCCCGCAGTATATCGATCCCTCGCTCCTTTGCATTCCTCATCTCAACCCACTCTTGATCAAAAGATCGTCCCGTGGTATGGCAGAAGCCGAGAAGCAAGCCGAGACGCCCAACGAGATAAATTCTGCCACCAGAACCGGGCAAACTGTTCCCAGAGAACGTCCAGAGCGCAGCCAGATTGACTCTTATCGGGTTCTCGAGAGTTTTCGCTTGACGCCCAACGAGAACGCCCTTCTCCTCGATCTGTTGCCGACCGCAAACCCAACTGATTCATCTCCCTATGAGCGTGATTCATACGAAGAGGAATTCTGGGCAAACTATGTACATCTTCTCAATGGAAGCCACGCCCTGGCAGAATAAGAGAATGATGCGACTCCTCAAATGCACGGTCTGAGTTTCATCGGTTGCAGTGCAACTCAATCCAAACGCAAAGAACAAGGAATCGCGCTGATTTAGTCTCATTTTATATATAGACCATGAAGTAGACAAAGAGGAGAAAATTGAGAACTATGATCATAGATGCTCTTGGCGGTCCTTTTTCATGGCATTGCGTTCACTCGACATGATCAGAGCCATCTGGGTGGCAACCGCAACAAGATTTCCCTCGGCATCTACAACCACAACTTCGACATCTAACCGTCCATTGTGAACCGACTTGATGTGGATATGGCTATAGAGCCACTCGCCCAGGTCCGTCCGAGCACATGTTTTAAAGTCGATATTGAGGGCAAGAGTGGGGAACCAAAGAGGGCCGGGGGGCCCAGCAACATTCTCATCGCCTTTGTACTTCTGATGCACCCAATGCTCTAGAGGGCCAAGTGCGGTGGGGAGAATGTCGCACAGGAACGAGACAGACTCCATTGTCCACTCTGCATTGCTGTCAGGTTCCTGCTGGCCGCCCGGTCGGAGTCGCGCCCATTGTCCAACGCCAGGTGGCCGGGGGGTGGAGATCTGGTCACCGCGCTCGCTTACTTGGTATAATTCCACCCTGGTTGCAGCACGCCGGAACGCCGGATTCGCCACGACAACTTTCCTCCAATTGATATCATTCATGTCCGATGGAGGCCACGATACCATCGGAAGTGCACCCCTGCGTACGGGGCTACCGATACTCCAATTGGTGGCCATCGAGATTCCAGTGTCGGAAACGCTATCGGAGATGGTCAGGTACCCGGCCACCACGGGACGATCGGCCTGGATGAGGGTGACATGAATAACCGAAATGCGAGTTCCAAGCTTGATATCGTCCACCAGGAAGGTAGCAGGGCCGACCTGGCATCGACGGAAGTAGGACAATTGCATTGCAATCGGTCTGGCGCAACCGTTGTGGCGGTTCGGCTGTGTCGTTTGGAAATGCGTGGCTGCCACCCGGTAAAAGATGGCGGCGGTATAGCCTCCATTAGGCACTGTGTATCAATTAGCATAGATGCGCTAGGGCTGCAGTGTGATTTTGCGTTCGGTTAAATGGAATACAAAAAAAAGGGAAAGAAAAGAAAACTCACCATGGCCCACCGACCATTCCCAGCTAAGATCGGCCAGATAGGCACCCTGGCGCTGGATCTTGACTTGAATGGCACCTTCGAACGTAGGGAGTCTATTTGCGAGAGTCATTTAGTATGTGCACCGCATAAATTCTCACAGCCTGGCCTGGTTAAGATATGTTGATGGCGAAGGCCCTCAAAATTTAAAAATACTACCCTACTGCATATCCGAGGCCCGTTGCTCGCTCGGTACCGAGATCGATCAAATCATCGACTCTTAACATCTGATCACAAGACGTGGTACATAAGAACCAAGCCAGAACCGTCGTCGTCGGGAATCGAAGGCCAGCGTCATTCTCTTCTCGCGACATCATGGCAGTTATCGACCGATTGCGGATTTCCGACCGAGGTGAGATCGAATCTCCTATCTCGGTGGCAATCCCCGCCACGGATCTCTTTTCTTACATCACTTCTGCGGGCACCGCGATCTCGCGGAAATCGCCGCAATACTTCGATGCTACAGCGCCGGACGTCAGCTATACCCTCGAAGATGCTGAGCTCATGGTCAAGCAATTCGGCTGTGGTCTGCAAAAGACTATGCGGCTCCGAAAGCAAGATAAGGTCCTCCTGTACTCGGGAAATGACTTGCTGTTCCCCATTGTGGTCTGGGGAGTGACCGCTGCCGGCGGCGTGTTTACCGGAGCTTCGCCCTCGGCCACCGTGCATGGTAAGTGAACTTCTCAAAAGGCATTGGGCATCGTTCTGACACGGGGTGGTGAGGGTTAGAGCTTGAATACCAACTACGTGACTCCGAGGCCACCACCGTCATAACGAGCCTTGAGGGATCAAAGGTCGCTATTGAAGCAGCACGGAAGGCCCGTCTTCCTCTGGACAGAGTTCTCCTGCTGGTCGCCCCAAACGTCCCAGACGCCTCGCGGACCGACCAAGGACGGCCCAGCCCTATCCGGCGATGGACGGATATCTGGAGCTCGAGCGAAGAAGCGAGATTGTGGACACGGGATCGTATCTCCTCCGTGGAGGAGGCGATGACGACGACGGCGGTGATCAACTATTCGAGTGGGTATGTTCAAAGATATGCAATCGAAACATGGCTTCCTTCGTCGCCGCGGGACTCATACTACATTCTTTGAACAGGACTACCGGACTACCCAAGGGCGTAGAACTCACCCACTACAATATCATCGCCAACGCCGAGCAGATCATAGCGAAGCGCCTCCTGGTAGAGGGCACCACGGCGGGCCGCGCGCGACGAGACAGACTCGATACTTCAGGTGAACGATGGCTCGCGGCCGTACCGATGTATCATGCCTTTGTGAGTCTGACCACCGACGGGATGTCGCTGCTCTGAGGACTGCACCTCATCTGACATCGTGGAATACGTTCACCGAGGTTTAGGGACAATCCTATTTCTGTGTAATTGCTCCTCGTCTCGGTGCCAAGGTCTTTATCATGCCCAAATTCGACTTGCGTCAGTACCTCACCTTTGTGGATATTTACCGCATTACATTTATCAATGTCGTACCAGCCATGCTGGCCATGCTCTGCAAGGTGGAGCACCCCAGTCGCTTTAATTTCAAGTGCATTGAATCCATGACCAGTGGCGCTGCTCGCTTGGATCCAGCTACCGCACAACGATTCCAACAACTGTACCTGCACAACGGGGTGCTGGTCAAACAAGGGTGGGGGATGACGGAGACTACCTCCAACCTGACCGGCTTCGCCCTGGATGACCAGGACGATGGGCGATCCATCGGCTGGCTGAGCCCTAATTGTAAGGCAAGGATTGTGCCGGTGGAAAAGCGTCAATTCGATGGAGGTGTGGTTGCCGAGGGAAGGACGCTGGGCGAGCTCTGGGTGGCGGGCCCCAACGTCATGAAAGGGTACTGGAAGCGTGAAGCTGAGACGAAAGATGCCTTTGTCATTGAGGGAGGGCAGCGGTGGTTGCGCACGGGTGATATTGCGTATGTGGATGATCGGGGGTGCTTCTATATCGTGGATCGAATGAAGGTACTGTATACCTAGATTTACCCCCTCTAAAGACCTGGCAATCGACCCAGCGCCGTGACCAGACTGACCGAACCAGGAACTCATTAAAGTGAACGGGTTTCAGGTCTCTCCGGCAGAGCTGGAGAACGGTTTGATGGCCCATGAAGGAGTCGTGGACGCGGCTGTCGTGGCCTACAAAGAGTGCGTTGTCTTCTTTTCCATGCTAGCCATTTCAGGCCACTGACACCCGACCCCGACGGAGCAGACAAGACAGAGAGTTTCCCAGAGCATTTGTGGTTCGCCAAAGTCCCGCTGTGACGGTGGAGAAGCTCCATGCCTGGACCCGAGAACGATTTGCCCGGTATAAGTGGTTTACAGGGGGCATCTTCTTCGTCGACGGAATTCCGAGAACGGCCAGTGGCAAGATTGTTCGACGAGAATTGCCCAATCCCAAGGTTCCCAAGCTCTAGGTTGCAGAGCAGTGCAGGGGGAATGCACCGGCGATAAAGAAGATAGTCTTAGGTGAAAGTTAGCCACTAGACTAGGGCACAAGAATCTTCCTTGACCGGGTACTGGAACTAAAGTATCTCCTTTACGTTACCCCATATTCCGCGAACGCCATCCAAAACGACCACTGCCCCCGTCAGCATCGTCGCCTCATCACTTGACAACCAAGCTACGGTGTTTCCAATGTCTGCCGGTGTTGTTAATCGACGCATTGGGATTGTCTCTAAGGCCCGGTTTTACGCTTCGACCGAGTCACCACCTGAGAACGAGGCGTCCCCCCTAAAGCTCGACCAAGTCAGCGGGGACATCAGAATATAGTAGAATTATTATTGAGACTAACATTGGCGTGTCGCCTAGGATCGGCTGCACGAAATTGAACTGCACATGATGGGGAGCCCATTCCAGCCCCAATCCCCGGTTGGCCGTGGTCAGAGCTGCCTTGCTTGCAGCATACCAGACTGCGCCCAGTCGGGGCCGCGAGGCTGGGATGTTCGAGACCTTAATAAATCCGACCTCGCGGTTGGACTGGAGGAAGAAGGGAACGACCATTATAACACTGTAATACAGCGCCTTGACATTCACCCGCATCATGCGGTCGTAGTCCGCTTCGGCGGTGTCAATGGTGGCGCAAGCGCCAGGATTCACGCCGGCTTTATTTACAACGATATCCAGACGCTGAAACGTGTGTAGAGGAAACTTCAGAATGCGCTCCCAGCCGTCCTCGGCAGCGACATCGGCTTGGAGAGCGATGACTGCTGGGTTTGAGGCAAACTTTTCGGCAACTCGGTCGGAAAGGGCGGGGAGGATATCAACCACGATAACCTGGGTGACATCACGGAGAAGTTTTTGGAAAATGCCAGTTTCAAAGTCCCGGCACCTCCGGTGACAATTGCCACTTTGCTGTATAGTCTACCCCCGGAATCCATGGGTTGATGACGTGGAACTTCTTGAACGAATGAGAACATATGGGTTTATGGATAGGGTAGATGTAGAGGATGGCAGACATATATTTACATATCTCTCCACTCTACGCCGATCTCGGTAGTCGGTGAGATAGCACCGAGGCTTACTGTTGAACGGCCAGTCGTCAGATGATTGAACAACTCTGTAATTTTCCTGATTGCGAATTTCGCCGACCTAAAATCCTATCCCCAGCCTCATCGGGAGCACTAAGGAAGGCAAATGACAAAAGGACTATAGGGCACCAAAGCAGCCTGAAGACAATTTGACTAACGGCCACAGAAAAGCAACTCCAAGTACCGGAGTGGGGGATACGATACGAGGGCGAAGACCAGCCCTAACATGTTGGCCACGTCACCACCACCAATCCTCTCGGCAATGACCCCCACATAGAATGAGGACACCATCCCCAGGACGCTCCCCACCCAGCCAGCAACAAACGCCCCAAAGCCAGCATAGCCAACAGGCAGTCGCGACCGGTTATTCCAGCCGTCAAGGTCGTAGTTGGTGATTTTACCCCGGCGGAAGAGAACGTGCTCTGTGAAGAGAATGGCGAAGTAGATGGTGTTGAAATAGCCGACCAGGGCTAAGATATTACTCAAGAAGGTTGGCACTGCTGTTTTTCCCACGATAGAAAGCACCATCAGGCCGGCGAATGAGGCCAGGCTCCAGAAAAAGTGCGGGACCATTTGAAGCGGAGCTGCAAGCTGCTGGACGGCAAGCGCAGCGGAATAGATGGCAATGGCGCCGAAGCCAACTGTTTGCCTTGTCAGATACCATGGGCAGGCAGGACGGGGGTGATAGCCCTCACGGACAGAAGTGGTTGGGGAGGGAAGACTTACTACCCCCGAGGCTGAAGATAACCATGACGAACTTGGCAAAACCGGACGGATACATCAAGCGGAGCATGACTTCGCCGATGCCATGAGCATCATAGGCGGCGGCCAGGCTGGCATTCTGGGCCAAAACTGAGCCGATGAGGCAGCCCGGTAGCACTCCAACGAAGTTGGCAATCCACATTCCAAACATGGTGAGGAAATATACCTTGACCCGGGATATATCAGCCGGATAATGCACGAAATAATCCGAGATCCAGGAGCAGAAGATCGAGGTGCATCCGTAGGAACTGGCGAGGAGGTTCAAAACGGCGGCAGTGAACTTCATCCCGGATGCGGTGGCGGGTTGCTGTAGTGATACCTTATCTCCGGTCTCACCAAACAGAATGAGGGTCAAAAGAAAGAAGGGCACCCAGAAGTAGGCCTCGATGACGAGCAAGATGCGGTACCCGCCAAATCCAATGACCAGGGCCAAAACTGTCACAATGACAATGCCAACGAGAATGGAGAGACTGTAGCCAGACACTGCGGAGAGTCCCTGCCCCGCCGTGATGCATTGCACCGAAGCGAAGCCTATAAGTCCAAAGATATTGAATATCGCAACGATTTTAGTCGGCCTGTTTGCTGGTCAGTCGGGAGCCGAGAGGTGACTTGGCAAGCCAGATAAGAGACAATTCACGTACCACCATCCCATGCTGTATCGAGAGACTGAGATCTGACGCAGGCCAGTGGCTGGACCAAGAGTGCCACACCAGGCCTGGAGTACGTTTCGAACTTAGCAAGTCACAGAGCAACCAACAATTTGGGGTGGACCTACGGCAGTCATGCAACCCAGCAGAATCCCAAACATCATGATTGGGATGGTTTGCCCCAAGGATAACCCATAGCTCCACCCTAGGGTACCAATACTGAAGTTTCCCAATCCAAATGTCCCACTCGACGCCCAGATGACGAACATGTACCACAATTTGGGGGGCTGGCGGTTTTCGGGTAGCACTCGTTCAGGGCCTTGGCTCTCCACTCCAAGTTTATGGTCGAGGATAGCTTCGTAGTATCGTAGACATTCGAGAATATTCCGGCGTTTGTAGATCTCTCCCACGGAGGAGGCACTCGCGTCCTTAAGAGACCCTTCAGGAGACAAAATCTCCGGCAGCGCAACATCCTTCTTGGCGGGGGTGAGTTCAATGTCAGTCGTCATCGTGATTAGGGATAGAGCTCAATCACGATCCCAGCCAGGGTATGGGACCAGCAGAGTATTCAGTTTGGATAAACTACACGGCGCTGCCTTTTAAGATAGCGGATGCCCAACGAGAGGGTGTGTGGCGAGAAGAATGGACGGGGATGAACTAGGACCCCTTATCTTCCCAACGGGAGAGTTGGGAAGCCTTCCAGTTTGCTTCATGCCAGCTGGTGCTGGGTAGCCAATGAGATATGAGCCTACCTGGAGCATTAATCAACCACTGACAGTCCACCTGGCGATTAGTTCCTACACATATGGTTCCACAATCATGAATGGTATCGATCTTGGGTTCTCCGCGCCATGGCCGAAGCGCTCCCCCCGGAGCAAGACCAGAGAACAGACCAACGATAAGAATTTAGGAACAAGGTACGGCTGGCTTCAAGCTTGTCCTAAGTGTTGATATGATGCTCGGGCTATCAATTCGTGACCGTGGGCTACCGCTCCGTTGCCACTGATATCAGTTTCAATCGGATTTCCATACGAGAGCAGCGCACGGGAGACAAGAGTTATGACTATCTTGACCCGGGGGATACCGGATGATCCCGAATTGATCGACTATGAGAAGAATGAGGAATGTAGGCGTGTCAGAAGTTCTCGACGAGGGAAGACCCATCATTCGTAGCCAATCAGATGCAAGGACGCCTGGGTAGAATCCAGCCAAGCCTCGGTACCGAGAGCTTATCCTATAGTACCGGTAACGTACTTTACGTCACTAGGTCCTTGTGGCCGATAAGCTCGATTATTTATGGTTTAGTGCTATCAGAAAATATTGGGAAAGAGGCAATATTGGCTGCCACTATCCGTCTCATCTAGTAATCTCATTTCCCGAGCTTTGCTGAGGGGTTGACCTATTGACCCTTATCACCCGCGGTTAGGCAGCCTACTCCCTTAGGATTCATAAATTATAACGCATCCGAGCATCAAGGATCAAGGGACCCGGCCATCATTATTCCAATCCTTGTTCTGATAATTACATAACCTAGGCTTTCCCTCTCGGAAGTTTTTTCGTCTCTACCAATTCAACCCGCTTGCTGGATCAGGATCATGCGACTCTTGCATTACCTTCCAGTCGAGGACATTTTCCCAACATGGAGCAATATTGCGGTTGCCTTGGCAGCAATCGGAGTCGCAACCCTCTTGATGCGCGCAATTTACAACCTCTACCTGCATCCATTGGCCAAGTTCCCCGGGCCCTGGTATGCCTGCTCCTTTTCTGTGGTGCTGGCCACAATCTCTGTCTTGCGAATGGAGCCACAGTTTCTGAGTTACTTGGTGAAGATATACGGTTTCGAGAAACCCATTCGGGTCACCCCAACGATCCTCATGTTCCCGCGGCCCTCCGCGTTGAAGGAGATCTACTGGGACCCCCAATGTAACACCAAGTCCCGGCTCTATGGCAGTGGGGCGCTGGGGCCACCGCACCTGTTCACCACGCTCGAGTCTGACGCCCACAGACAGCTCCGGCGGGCCTTATCCAACGCCCCTTGGACCATTGGCAAGCTGCGGCTGGCCTGGGAGAAGCGCTTCGACGAGCTAGTTGAGCTGTTCATGACGAAGATGCACGAGCATGCCGCGGCAGGCCGTGTGGTAAGTCTTAGCGAGAAAGTTTCCGAGTTCGCGGCCGACATCATGACCATTATGACTTTTAACGAGCCCTTTGGTTTCGTCCAGAACCAGCGTGACGAGCGAGATCTCCTGGGAAGCTGGCGGCGGAACGTCAACCTATTCGCCTTTGCGGGGCGAGCGCGCTTCTTCCGCGAAGTCATCCTTACCTCCCCCCTCGGGCCCTGGATCCTGCCCTCCATCCGTAGTGAGTCGGGGATTGGATGGATGCTCAACGAGGCAGATCGCCAAGTAACCGCGCGGGAGAAGGCCACCGCGCAGGGCCTATATCCTCACTCCCCGGATTTCATGCAGCAGTAAGCTTTGCCCGCCAGCAAAACCGCAACTTGTTTACTGACCAAGACTCCTAACGCCTGTATAGTGCGCTGGAGGCCCGTCTCCCGTCCGGCGAACCACTTTCGGCGGCGCAGCGACGCGCCCATGTCGTCCTTCTCATTCAAGCCGGAGCAGACACCACCGGAACGACCATGGGCAGCGCCCTGCGGTTCTTGCTGCAGCACCCCGAAGCTTGGGCAAGGTGCCGGGCTGAAATCGACGCTGTGGAACAGCAGGGCCTCCTGTCACACCCGATTCAGTATGAGGAGACTCGGCAGCATCTGCCATTTTTGGTGGCTTGCCTGAAGGAGACCATGCGGTTGAATCCCTCGGCCACCAATCTGTTCGCACGTGTCTGCCCTCCGGGAGGTAAGATCATTAACGGCCATCACATCCCCGCGGGGACCGAAATGGCCTGCCACGCCTACACTTTGCAACGCAGTGTGGAAGTGTATGGCTCCGACGCGAACGAATTCCGGCCAGAGCGCTGGCTCGAGAGTGCACAGCGCACGCGGGAACTGGAGGCTGCTCAGTTTACCTTCAGCGTTGGGCCTCGGACCTGTCTTGGGAAAGACGTTGCGACGCTGGAGATGTGGAAATTGATCCCTGAGGTAAAACCACTGAGGCCCGCCCCTATTTCACACCCAGGAAGGCACAAATCAAGACAGCTCCGGTTAACACTGTAACAGATCATTCGGCAATTTGATATCGAATTCATTGATCCCGGGAAATACGTGGTGGTTGGGGGAATTGTTTGGAACGAGGGCTTAATGGGTCGTTTCGTGGCACGGCGCAATGGAAAAGGCAGGCAGGGATGAAAGGCCGTCGCTGATGCGGCTGATGTTTGACGGGATTCACGGTGTCGCGACATGTACTGTATTCACTACCTACTGCTGCGAGGAATATATCTGTTTGGCGGGAGTCCGTGCTGGCATGTCCATCGAGGCACTATGTAGTTGCTGTCTTCCTTCTCGTCTGCGTGGCTATGCTAACTATCCCGGCTGCTCAACCAACTTGGACATGATAATAGCTTTACGGCTCCTCACTTGGCACAAGCCTCGAGCGGAGAAGGGGCAAAACGAGGTATCACTTTGTCAGAGGCCTATATAGACTATCTGATGTGATTAATGGCTTACACGTATAGATCAGCCGCGTGGCTGCCGCGACGAGGTCTCTTCACTGCCTTGTCCCACAGTTTCGCCCTCCGCGGGAACCCTAATCCTGGTGATTCGCTCCAACTCGCCCAGCAGGCGCTCTTGAACCGCAACATCCCCAACCTCAGCCATGGGAAGGGGCTGCACCTTGCTGTGACGCCAGTACCGACCGGAGACGGCATTGGTGTCCCCTTTGCCCTCGATCAGCGTGATATAGGTGGCGATTCCCGCCTCCAGGTCCCCTGTGGCGTTCCAACCGCCCAGCTTGGTGGCGACCCAGCCGGGGTCAAGAGAATTGGCACGCACGGACGGCCAGCGCCGTGCTAGAGCTGCGGCCATTAGGCAGACGTGAAGCTTGGTATCGCAGTAGGCCTGGATGTCGGGAAAGTCCTGCTCCCCGCGGGCGCGCCAGGTGAGGTCGTACAAAGAGGGGTCAGCGGCATTGGGGAAAATGGTGGAGATAAAGACATGCCGCAGAGGCCGTGGTTCGATTAGGCAGGAGAGAATATAGGGAGCCAGGGTGTTGACGGCAAAGATGCTGGGCCAACCCTCCTGGGTGCGCCGGTACCCCCCCGTGTACAGCCCGGCGTTGTGGACCACCACATCAAAGGGGCCCTCTTGATTGATCTCATGCACCAGCTTCAGGATCTGTGCGCGGTCCGAGAGATCACCCACCAGGCATCCGGCCGCCCCGGGGCACGCTGCCAGGGCGTCTTGTGCCCTTTGTGAATTGCGGGCGTGTAGCATCACTTGGTGACCGTGACGCACCAGACGCTGCGCTGTCAAGGATCCCAGTCCATCCGAGGAGCCGGTTATGAAAACACGAAGCATGATGAAGGATTGGGATGGTATCGAAATGAACGTATGCCGAACTGGAGATAACATGCAGGGGTTGGTTATTAATAAACCTGCGGTGGATAGCTACAAAGCCGAGGATAGATAACGTTGGCCGATCTTCGGCACCGAGCGTCAGACAGGTGGACTCTCGGTTCTCCGCCTTAACAAGACTGCCTCATGCAAGCTTTCCGGCCACGTACCAGTTATTTAACATTACATTACATCATCTAGACTTCGAGCGAGCGCATGAGTCAGAGCAAGCCAAACCCCTCAACCCCAATAGATATCGAACTCCGGAATCGTGTGCAGTAAAGTCGCCCAGTAACTGTCCGCGAAAGAGGGTTCCACACGACTCCAGACCCGGAGCAACAGATCCCGGGCACGACGGTAAACCGCAAATCCAGAGCGAGCTCGGAGTGTCAACCAGTGCAGAACCTGCTCTCGGAGCTCCTGAATTTGAATCTCGCACGCAATTACGATGATGGGCCAGGTCACGGGGCTACCCTGGTTTCCGAACGCATCAAGCCGCCGCACATGCTCCCAGCCCTCGTGAGCCAGTTCCTCCAATGCGCCCGATGCGCCTCGGCCGGTTCGCCGCTTGAAGAAAATCAAGAGGGAAAAATAAAAGATGTGGCAGTGGATTGATTGCAGTCCATGCGTCGGGACGCCAGGAGGCGGGGCCAATTGATAAAGCTCGAGCTCCATGCAGTCCAAGTGGGCGGGCGACAAGTCGAGCGCGGGCGGTAGTGCCTGAATGCGATGCAGTGCCATGAGCAGGGGGTAAGGGAGGCCCCCCAGGGCGGGCTGGATGTAGGCGATCTCCCAGGCACTGTCGTCGCCGGAAGAACCCCACAGCGGAGCTGGATACTTGGTGGGGGGATGGCATTGGCATTGCTGATATGTAGCCACCGTATGTAGAAACTGGAACAATTCTAGCACCATGGCCGCGGAGGTCGAGACGCACCACAGTTCGGACCGCACCGCCTTGAGCAGACTGAGGCCCCCATGAATGTGTTGTCGCCAGACATGAGCGATGCCCTCGGTGGCGCTTTCAGTCAGGTAAAGGATGATCGTTGCCAGGAGGGCGACCACGTCGCTGTCCTCGCCCGCCTGCAGGGCTGAAAGTTGGAGACGAAGATGGGTAAAACTGTGCAGTCGATGCGTGGCAGCTGAGCCCAGCAGTTCCGGGTCGTTGCCCCTGAGGGCGGCGAGATTCGAGGCTGAGAGTGCACAGATGGCGTGGAAGAGGGCCATGCAGCCTCTGGTCATGGCACGGGGCTGGAGGAACCCGTGGAGGGCCATGGGCAGGAACACGGAGACTAGCACGTTGTTGCCCGCCGGAATAGGCATGAGAGCAGCACTGAGGTGGAGGCGCCAGTGATTTAAGAGCCGTCTCTCGCGGAGAGGCTCAATGCAGTCATGCAACTGTCCTGGCGGCCGGCGGAGATACTGCAGCCGCAACCCCTCGCTACATCTGCTCCCCCCTTCCGCCATCTCCACTACGAACACTGAAAACGGCCCCTGTCGGGCCTCTCCATGTAAGCTCACGCGATCTTCCAGCTCATCCTGGATCCGATTCGAGTTGAGGGTGGGCCAGCTGCGGCGGCCTGGGGCGGGTGCGCACCACCGACGCATACGCCGTCCGGATGGCCCCGCGACCTGCTTAGGGTCCCGATTATCCCCATAATCCACCCAGTTCAGCGCCATGGCATATCCTTCGCACGACAGAACTGCGCGCTCGCAGCGGGCACAGGCCGGCTGGCGCTCGTCGCATCGGACATGGCGTTTACGACAGGTCCAACATCCAGAGTATGACTTTGGGGTAGTCGCATGACGGTTTAACGGCATCGCCTCGTCTGGGTCGCGGATTGTGACTGTTTTCTCACTGTGCCGTCGCAGCAGTTTATTACATTCAGGTGTCGATGCTGGGAAGGGAGAGAATGAAAATAGTGTGCATTGGGCGGGAGAGAAAAGAAGACCTCAAATCGGTGGTGCGGGGAGCAAGGGGGGTTCGGCGTTGCAGTTCAAGTCCGCAGTAGAATCGAGTAGATCCTCGGGCAGTGATAAGAATCGGCCACTGTGGGGTAAGTAAGCGATTCATGGCACATTATCAAGGTTACCAAGGTCGTCATTGGCTGGGCGGCAGGAAGGCCCCGCGTACAGGCAGGTATTGATTGTTGATTGTCGGGTAGGAAAACAAATGACTCGATGGGTCCGATACCGCACGTGCACCTCTCCCCTAACTTGGCGCGGTTCAACGCCGGCGACATTCAGCCCAGAGCATACCAGAGAATACCAAAGAATACCAGAGAATACCTGAGACTAATAGAGAATACGAGAGAATACCAGAGACTAATAGTGAATACCAGAGACTAATCGTGAATACCATAGAATACCATAACCGATCAGTTACACCGAACAGAAGAGACGGTCTTACCACGGAAGCAATCGGCGGAATTTGTTTCTCCACAACGAAGGCTCCCCCTCCTCGTCTAGGCGAGGCAATCGCATGGACAGATCAATATCCTCCCGAGGAATCCTAGCCAGGGTGAGCAAGGCGAATAGTTAGAGGATGGAAGGAAGGGGGGGCTCTCGGGTAAATTACCACTGGGATCGGTGATAAAGCTTGTGCCCCAAGTAACAAATGAAAAAGGTCGGTATGGATATGTAAGACGAGACAAACCCCGCTCGGTCAAAGGGTACCAGGGTTGTGTAGCCGGAAATCAGGAGGAGAAAGATCACTAGGACAAAATTGCAGCGATAGATCCAGATGCTGCCCGCAGCCCGGAATGGGATCGTGTCGAGGTCGATTCCTTGTCGAACCAGACCGCCGCGAACGCGCAAGTGAGTGAACACAATGCAGGCCCAGGTGATATACGCACAGGACCCGGCCACCGTCACAATGTAGGAATAGATGGCCCCGGCCGAGCCTCCCAGATTTAAGAGTGTCAGGAAACCCCACATGTTGGCCGCCACAATCGCCACATACGGCACTGCACATCATGATTAGCAGAAGGCCCTCAGCGCAATCCACGCTGCACACGACCTACCTTTCGCTTTAGACAACCGCGCAAAGACTCTTGGAGCACGTCCAGTCAACGCCATGGAGTACAGAACGCGCGACTGCACATAGACAGCGCCGTTGACCCCTGAAATGAAGGCCATGGTACACAGGGCATTGATGAAGTCTCCCGACGACACCCAGCCGACCTGCGTGAAGGCGATAGTGAAAGGGGATGTGCCCACAGTGGAATCGGCCTGCAGGAGCTGGGGAGATGTGGCAGGGCAGATGATCGACTGCCAGAATGCCAGGCCAATGAAGACGACACAGATGCGGATCACAACACTTCGAGTGCCCTACTCCATGAAGCCAGTCAGTATGCATTGATTCCGTCGCTCAACCCGGCGCAATTGCCACGCTAGGTGCGCGGTTGGGAAAGGTCCGTACTCGGGGGATCGCCCGCTGGGGCTGCTGCGTTTCTGCGGCGGCGAGGGAGAGGATCTCGGTGCCCACATAGAACGCGGCTCCTGTGACCAAGCTCTGTGCGAATCCGCCTATCCCCCCTTGGAAAGGTCCTGCCCGCTCGTTAGTGATCGGATTGCAGTCATTTCGGTGGCCACCCTGAACATACCGTTCGGCGGCGTCCAGTATCGAAACCCAACGTATCCGTTACCAAAGGCACCCACGTTGACGAGGAACGAAACGAAAAAGCAGGCAAAGATAGCGAAGAGCTTGGCCCACCCAAGCCAATACTCGATTTCACCGTAGACCACGACCCCACAGTTGGTCAACACCGTGAAAAAGCCGAAAAAGACCAGGCACCAGCCCCAGATGGGCATCTGCTCCGGGGTTATCCAGTAGTTGAGGACGAGGATCGCCCCACTCCACTCTGGATTGATCAATCAGCGCCTGTGTGGTGGTTGCACTATCCTGAGCGTCAAGGGAAGCAGGGCTCTCACCGGTCGCCAGCAAGACGCACCACATCAGATAATAGATCCAAGCCAGGGCGAAGCCAAATGACGGATCGACAAAGCGCGTCGCATGCTGAGGGACCTGCATCAGCACTGTATGCCACGGTACCGGGCTGGGTGGTTGTACGTACCTCAATGAAGCCTCCTGCAATCGGGAACATGGTTGTCACCTCGCCGAGGCTTTGCATTAGAGCCCAAACAATGAACCCTGGACCAGGGGTCAGTAGCTGATCGTGGACTGGAGTTTCTTTTCCTTGGCTTCTCCCAACGGGTTATGAACCACAACATACCAACGAGGCAGAAGGCCAGCAAGGTTCCAATAGGACCAGAGAGATGGATCACATATCCGATCAGGTAGAAAGCCGGTCCTCCGATGATGCTGGCCAGGGAGAGCATGGATATCTGCCGCTCGGACAGCTCTCGTTTGAGACCGGAATCAGCAAAGCTGACCAACTGACCTTCTTGCACGTCCGACTTGGGCGGTACCATTTCCCTAGCGGACTTTTTCTGTTCGCCGGGCGTGTCCGGGGGGCCTGGACTCAGCTGGATAGATTCCATCGTGTTGCGTGAAAGAGAGCGTGGATGATCCTACTGTATGCTCCCAGGGGGGGGAATACAACAACCATTGCAGGGTCTGCTGGTAGCTTGTCGAGAGAGGAAATAAATAATCGGGGAGATCGATGGGTGTGAGAAAGGGGCAAGGCTATAGAATAGATCGATGAGTGGTACAAGACGGGGGATGAGGGGGTGATCAAGCAGGAGTAGGGCTCGGGAGGACGGGATTCCAGGGCGATAAGAACGGCTCTCTGATAACTGAAAGGATGAGACTAAACAGGAAGGAGTTAGAATGTACCGAGCACCTCGTCTGTAACTGCCGTAATGATCAGAGAGCGATAACTGCGGGGAATACCGAAGCCTGTCAAGACTAGTAGTTATCTGCCCCTCTCCGATTCCATCGGATCTCACCCGCTCTCTATCCCTGCAGCTAGGATGTAACTCGTCTGCTCCTTCCTTGTTCAGGTCGATCCCCCCTCCCGCAAAGAAAAAGAAGAAGAAAAAAAAGAGCAAGATGCTGTCAAAGAAAAACAAATTTCAAAAGCACTGGCGTAGTCGGCACAATATGTTCCACCATCAACATAAATACTCCACGACCCTCCGGGCCTCGATCCGTCAACCAGGATATCTGCCAACCAACCAAACGCGAAAACCCAAAGGCCTCGTCACTTATTCAGCCTTACCTTACCACCGAGACCATGTCTTTCCATTTCCCTCCCCTCACGCCCGTGAAACGAGTGGCTGCTTCTGCGGGCCTAGGACCCATCCTAGGGGCCTTCAAAGACGACGGCGTCGTAGTCATCGAGGGTTTCTTCACCCCGGAGCAGGTGAACGAGCTCAACGATGACCTGACTCCGCCGCTCGAGAAGGTCAAAAATGGGCCCTCTCTCAAAGACCCCGAAATCGCGCGCTACCACGGCTCTAACACCAAGCGGATGTCAAACATGTCCACCCACAGTAGGGTCTTCCGCACGCAGACGCTTGACAATGACCTGCTGCATGATATCTGCACGGCAATCTTCGCCAAGGACTCTGGGGATTACTGGCTGAACACCGCCCTGGTGATTGATATTGGCCCGGGGAACAAGGCGCAGCCACTGCACCGCGACGAAGAGCAACATCCCGTCTTCCGCACCGTCGGCCCCGGGGGTATCGAGGCCGGTGTTAACTTCTTCATCGCACTCACCCGGTTCACTGACGAGAATGGCGCCACGCGGATGATTCCAGGGAGTCACAAGTGGCCGAAGGATGCGACCCGCACCGACGGCCTGGAGATTGAAGCTCCTCATGGGACTCTCCCCGTGGAGATGAACGCTGGCGACGTCGCGTTGTTCAGTGGACGGAACATTCACGGCGGAGGCGCCAACCGCACCCGGGATGAACGTCGGCGCGGGGTGGCCATGAGTATCCAAGCTTCTTACCTCACACCCGAAGAAGCTCACACCTTGCTGGTGCCGTTGGACAAGGTTCGCGAGATGAGTCCCCGCGCGCAGAAGATGCTTGGCTTCCGCTCCCAATTCCCCAAAGATACGCCAGGCATCTGGATGAGTGACATGAGGGAGATCGCCGAGGTGCTCGGCTTGGAGAGAGATGCGAATAGCAAGACGGACTACTAGGGTGGTTGACTGCCTGGAGAGGGGATGCTGGGAGTCTTGTAGTTATTGCTATCCCATTCCTCTGTACCCTCTCCCCATGAGGTGACATTGTTTCTTTCCTGTTCGTGCAATAACATAGTGTAAGAGATGTCTCTGTTCGCATGACTTCGGGCTTCCTCCCTTCTTACAGGAAGCCATATATTCCATACAGCTGTATACATCTAAATATATATACATACTATGACAGGTTATAAGCCCTTATAGCTCTTTTCTATATAAGAATTATAAATATCATAACTAATCTTCGTCTAGTACTAGCGTGGACTTTGGTTAAAAACAGGTTGAAACTAGACCTCTAAAAAGCATATTTAGAATAAACAAAAGTAATATATATATGTATTCGTTTTAAAACTGAACATATATGTATAATATAAGGGCTAAAGGGTGAAATAGTGTAGTAAGCAAATGCCTTATTGCAGTAGCCAAGGTGGTAGTATTATATCTTAAGATATTATTACTAATTTATTTAACTTTATAGGACTACTACTATTTTAGGTGGTTCTATAACTACTTTGCTTAACTGTTATATAGCTAATACTAGAGTGGCTAACAGCCAGGTCAGGCCAGGTTAATTAAGATTCTTATTCCTGACTGCAGGTCATGGTTAGATATAAAAATATAGATATTCCTAACCAGCTTAACCTACAGTTAACCGGCAGGACCAATTTCTTAGTAACTAAGCCTATTTTAAAAAGCAGTAAAAAAAATAAAATACTACTACCTAATTTTAATCTGATTTTAATCTATTTCTATCTAATTCTTTCTAATTTTTATTTTAATTAGTTTTTTTAAAACTATTATAGGTATAATAGTTAACTGGAGTTAACTGTTCTACCTAACAGTTAATCTAATTTTATATTTTAATCTAACCACCGGATTATGGCCAGGTTAAGGTTAAGATATAACAGGCAGGTTAAGCCACTCTAATTATAAGATATAAAGATATATAGTATAATAGATATAAAAGATTTTATTAGAAAATAATATATTTTTTTAAAAGCTGTTTTATATTATTTATAACTTCTTTTAACTAAAGTAAAATAGTAGTTGTTAAGCTTATATATAGGCTTTAAAAAATAATCTTCTACTACTAATTTAAAAAATAAAAATCCTTTTTTAAAAAGTTAAATATAGAATAATCTTTTAATTTTTTATAATACATGTAATCTTAAGATTTAAAAAAAAGAAAAGATCTAGTTTAAAAAGCTTATTTAGTTTGAATATTATTATAGTTTATAAAAATCTAAAAAACTAAAAAGAAATTAATAATATTTTTTAAAAATAAGCTAAGTAACTGTAATTAATTTATAATTCTAAAACTATTCTGTAAGTAACATATATAAAAAAATACAAATAGAAAACTTTATAAAAATAGAGAACTTTAAAAAAATAGTTTATTTTATTTTAAAATATATTTTTATATAAATATAATTTATTATATTTTAATATACAGCCAAAGTGCCCGCTGCATTTTATATATTTTGGTAGATCTAATAAATAAATAATTATATTTAAAGCTGAAAATTATAAATACTTAGGGCCAACTAGATTGAATAAATTAAAAATCTTATTTTTATATTTAGAAAAGGCTTTTATAGAACCTACTATAAAAAATATAATATCTAATATTAAACTAAATAGTTATTAAAAAGTATATTTACTAAGAAAAAGTAAGTAAATAGTATAGCACCGGATTTTAAATAGGTTTAGATTAATAGGGTATTTAGAATTATTAGAATTAAAAAAATTAAAAGGATTAATTAAATTAATAAAATAATTAAAATTATTAGTATTAAAAAATTAATTAAATTAGCAGAGTAATTAAAATTATTGAAATTAAAAGAATTAATTAAATCAGATATAAAAAATTATATTATATTATATACAGCCTAAATAGTACTGTAATTATATATTTTTTATATATATTTTTTACTGTAAAAGTAATAATTTTATAGAAAGCTGGAATTTATTAGCACTACTAAAAACTTTTTATTATTTTTTAAATATAGAGATAAAGAAGACAGTAATATTTTAGTTATTTTTATTTAATTTAAAAAGCTTTTTTTATATACTTTTAGACAATAGTTAAAATAGTTAGATTAATGATTTATTAATCTAAATATATCTTGATTGTACTAAAGCTAAAGGGGGTATAGTAGATAAAGCTTAATACTAAAAATAGTTAAAATATATAACTATTTAATTTTTAGCTATACTACAGTTAGGTATAAAAATTTCTTTAATCTGGCTATAACCTGGCAGTTAGGTATAAAAATTCTGATTAATCTAACCTAACCTGGCTGTTAGCCACTCTAGCTGTATATTAAAATATAATAAATTATATTTATATAAAAATATATCTTAAAATAAAACAAACTGTTTTTATAAATTTTTCTGCTTTTATTTTTCTATATCTATTACTTACAGAGTAGTCTTAGAATTATAAATTAATTATAGTTATTTAGCCTATTTTTAAAAAATATTATGAAGTCTTTTTCTTTTGTTTTTTAGATCTTTACAAACTATAATAATACTTAAACTAAAATAAGCTTTTTAAACTAGATCTTTTCTTTCTTTTTAAATTTTAAGATTATATATATTATAAAGAATCAGAAGATTATTTTATATCCAATTTTTCTTTACAAAAATCCCTATTTTTTAGAATTAGGAGTAGAAGATAATTCTTTTAAAGTCTATATGTAAGTTTAAAAACTGGTATCTTTATATTTTATAATATTTAAAAATTAAAAACTTAAAAACTAGTTTTATAAGCTACTATTTTTATAAAGGTTATAAAAAAACACTATTAGTTATATTTAAATAAATAATTAGTTAAATACTAAGTAAAGGACTATTACAGGTATATACTTATTTTTTATTTTTTAAAAATAGATTTTTTTAATTATTATTTTTTCTAGGCCTCTACAGCCTACAATAAACAGAATTTTTAAAATTAAGTTTTATACTTTATAATTACTTATTACTTACTATTCCAAACTATGAAGTATATTTAATTTAAATAGATAATTAATTTTACTGCTATATTTTTCTACTAAAAACTAAATCCTTTTAATTAAGTATAGATTAAAAAATATTTTTTACTTTAATTAAATATTTTTTAATAAAAAATATAAATTACTATAAAGTTCTACTAGACTTCTAACTAGTATTTAGATTTTATACTAATAAAAATCTAGCTGTAATTATTTTATTAGTTTTATATAAATATAATCTGGCCTATTAGTTATTAAATATAACAACTAATAATATTAATAATAATAGTTTAATACTTAGTATAATTTTATTTAAACTCTAAGCCTAGCTTAGTTAGAGTATCCAGCTTTATAATATTTTAATTAACTCTTATTTTTTAAAGATTATTTAGAGCTAGTATTATATACTTTGTTTTATTTATATAGTTTAGCTTGTAGTTAATATTTTTTATAAAAACTTTAGATTAAGGCCTTGAACAGTACTGTTAAATATATATAAAAAAATTATAATAATAGTTTTAAAAGCTTTATTAATATTTTAAAAATGTTTAAAAAGATATATTCTAAAAGCTATTTATTAAAAGACTAATATAAACAGCCTCTACCATTTATATTAAAAACTATTTATATTAGTTTTTTATAAACAGCTTTTAAAGCTTTTTTTTAGTAATAGCTTATTATACTAATTCTTACTTATAGATTTAAAAGATTATATAATTTATAAATATAAGCTTTTAATACTGTAAAAAGTTTCAGCTTATCTAATAATTTAAATTTAAATTAGTTTACTATTTTTTTCTAAACTGTAAAATCTGCTGAAACTTAACCTATCTTATAACATATTAAATATTTAATTTTTATTAAATAATTAAAAATTTCATTTAGTACTGTAAGTATAGTAATATTAATTATTTTTATTTTATTATAATTAAGTAAAAATAGATGAAGTATTTTTTTAAGTTTCTATACTTTTCTTTTTATATTCTATTTATCTAAAAACAGTAGGCCTACTTTTTATAAGATTTATAATATTTATAATAATCTTTTTAATTATTTAGATTATTTAACTAATTAACTAGTAAAAAAGCAGGTGCGTTAAAAAAAGATTTTTAAAAACTTATAGAATATATATTAAAAGCTTTAAAAATACTACTATTATATTTACTAAATAAAAGGCTATATATATATAATTATAACTATTCTAAATCTAATATTAAAGTTTAAAAAGTTTAAAAAAAATATATATTTTAATAATAATATTAACTAGTATAATAAATATTAAACTATTTTTAAAAAGATTTTTTTATTTTTATTATAGTTAGAATCTAGTAATTAATATACTATTATCTAGCTTTATATTATTATCTAGTTTAAATATAGTTTTTTATAATATTTTTAAATACTAAAGACTCTTATCTGCAGTAGAAATATTAAAAAAACTTAAAATATATCTAAATATAAAAAATATATAATTTAAAGAGATTTTTTTAATAAAATTAATACTGTTTTAAATATTATAAAATATATTAATATTTTTACTTACTAAATGTTCTGCTGTAATTAGTTTTTTATTTTTTATTAAATAGCTAAAGATTTTCTCTCAGTTGCAACTTATAGTATTAGTATTAAATATTTATTTAATAGTTTTTAAAATATCTACTACTATTACTAAAATTATTTTTATTCTAATATAATTAAAGCAGTTATACTTTAAATATATATTAATTATTTTACTATTAATAAAAAATACTAGAATGTTTTTAATAATTCTAATCTAGATTTAATTATTTTTATATTTAAAAAGTAAAAAAAGAATAAGATAATTACTATCTTTTATATTAGTAAAAATAAAGATATAAATAATCTTAAAAATAACTCTAAAAATAGATTATTATTAGTAATAGGAAAACTAGTCTTATCTAAGTTTTTAAATATTATATATACTTAGGTAGAGATAGAAACCTGGTTTTTATATTTTTATACTATTAT